GGCTAACACAGCACCATATCTTGTCACCAGAGCACACCTTGGAATGGGTCTCACTGTTCAAAATCCTCTATAGCTTCCCTTGGCCTGTAGGTTAAAATCCAAGCTCCTCTGCCTGACACACAGCACCAAGCCTTGCATGAATTAGGTAGAAGTAAATGTTGCTGAAAGAACAGGTGACCTAATCATTGAGTAGATGAGTGAGCAGGAGAGGGAGGAATGAAGCATGAGCAAGTCAGTTAATGAGTGAGTAAATAAATGAGTCAGTGAATGGGAAAGTCAGCGAGTCTGTGAATTTACCACCTATTCCCCTCCCATCTCCAGGACGTTGCAAGTTACCCAAGGAGGGAATATGTCTGTTTTGGGTCCCACTGTACCCTACTCTGGACATAGAGCCTAATATACAAGACATGCCCAATAACTATTTGCTGACTGAATAAGTTAATGAGCAACTAGGAAAGTGACTCCAGACACTGACCAGGAGGGCTGGGGTTGGGTAAAGCAGGGTAAGGTGACTCACGGGTGCTGGAGCACGTTGGAGCACAGCGCTGGGTCCACCTTCTGCCAGCAGCCCAGGTGGGCGGCAGCCTTGTGAAGGAGGTCGCAGTAGCTGGCAGGCAGCAGGTGCTGCATGAGGATCACTGAGGTGCTGATGGATACCAGAAGGAAGAGTTCACAGGACCAACGCTTGTCGTAGTAATGTGTGTTCTGGGGGTAGCAGAAGGTAGGTGAGGCCTGGGACACCCATAATGGCCTCACTTCCCCTCTCCTCCCTGAATCCCCATGCCTCAGAGATTAGGACAGTTCTGAGGAGACCCAGGGTAGTCTGAAACCAAGAATCAAACACGTAGGCTGGGTGCAGTGGCTCACAACTGTAAACCTAGCACTCTGGGAGGCCAAGGTGGGTAGATTGCCTGAGCTTAGGAGTTTGAGACCAGCCTGAGCCAGAGCGAGACCTCATCTCTAAAAATAGTCATGCATTGTGGCAGGTGCCTCTAGTCCCAGGCT